TCTACACACACACACACACACACACACACACACACGTAAACAGTAATACAAATTAATACATTTTTTTGAATTGCTAAATGTAATAATTTGCTATTTTATTATATATGTATATCTAATATATCTAATGTATTTTTTTATTTGTATTTACATAAAAAAATATTAAAACAAAAAAGTTTGCAATTCTACAAAAGGCAAGTTTGTAAAAAGTGATTTTCTTGCTTATGAACTATGTAATGCAATATATATAGTATTTTTATGGTCACGAATGTTGGTAGAACTTCAGTGTCTGGATCTTTTAATTAAAGTAGTTGTTGTGTGTTTGTCTGGCAGTGTGGTGTGTGAAATCGGCCCAGCGAAACTCTACAAAACCGGAGAGGTGGAAATCGAGGTGGGCAGAGGAAAGAAAGGCATATCCACAAAAACGGTCCGCTTCACCTACAGGGTAAGTCACGATTCTGCATTACCCAGCATGCACTGCCCACGCAGTAATTGAGTGAAACTCTGCTGCTGTGTGAGTCCACAGGAGCGTCTCTCTGCGTGCAGCATGTAATGCTGGGCTGTTTTGTGTGTGGCCACTGGTCTTGTGCTCCTGCAGGCCTCATAATTATAACCGCTGACGGCTTTAGCAGGGTTTATTGCATCAGTTTTCAGGGAGATAGGCTGTCACAGTCGCTCCCGCGGGGAAACGCTGAGGGTGGTGTGTGTTTGTTCGGCAGACTGACGGCTCTCGGACAGCACACAGATGCATTTCCTGGGATTATGTAATCATTACAATAAGATGGTAATGCATGGGATGGCTCTGTCATTGTTGGGTATTTGCAGCTTTTGTGCACATTATTATTTCAATATTGCAGTTTATATTAATGAATAATTCATTATATTATTTATGTAAAATCGTGTGTGTGATATTAGTTTACTAAAATATATATAATGTAATATGTGATCTTTGTCTCTGTAGGACCCTGTAGCACAGAGCATGTCTCCTGAACGAGGTCCTAAAGCAGGAGGAACCATCCTCACTATCACTGGGATGAACCTGAATACCGCTTCAAAAGAAGACCTTCAAATCATGGTGGGCGATGTGCCCTGCCGAGTGTGAGTGCATCATGGCAAATGTCGTTTCTGTCATTTTCATTGGATTTGCCCTTTTTGGTTCATTTTGTGTTCTTCCTGTCTGTCAGTGAGAGCTTCGGAGAGCGGATCACCTGTAAACTGTCTGAGTATCTGGGCGATACGGTTCCGTCGGCTTACCTCACCTTCAGAGTTCAATACGGCAAACACACCACAACCGCCATCAGGACGGCCTTTCAGTTCTCCAACAACCCCTCTGTGTCCGACCATCAACCCAGGAGCAGCTTCATCTGGTCAGTTCTGTTTGTTTCCTTACCCACATAACCATTACATCAGTACTCTCATCTGTACACCGATGAATACTGCTTTTTGCAAGACATTATTGAAATATTATTTAAGTACATGCATTATTTTGTATCTTAATAATAAAAGATATTTTATTTAATGTAATTAATATGAAAATGTATATAGTGTTGTATGTATATTTATTAAAAAAATAGTTATAAAATAAGCATAAATATGATCAAATATTTGTATTATTTTGTTGTAGACATTTTTTTATATATTTTAAATATATAATACATATTTGATTATATTGTATCATATATTGTATTATATA